CACTAGCTGCAAATGTGCGCAAACATTTCGAAAAAAAATCAAATTTGGTAATTGCGGTGTTTCCGTTTAATAAATCGCACCTGAATAAGTTTCTACTTCCAGTTACCTTTATCTTCGTGGTTTCCGCCAGTAGTAACGTCGTTGTTGATCATGTGACTAGTGTGATGCTAAAAAAACCAAATCATTCTAGCCAAAACTTTTTATTTTGTTTCTTTCAAAATGGTCTGTTTCCATTTAGGAAATTTGTGAAGTTAAATTTTATGGTCAAACTTGCATTTAATTTTGAAAGACTGCAATGAAAACACTTTTTCACGTCACTTCTGCTGATGGACAAGAAAAGTTGCATGTTAGCTAAATATTTGAGTTGAATATTTAGCTTGTAGCAACATAAATAGTACTTCCTATGTATTTATGGTGGCCTGTTTTTTAATTATTTATCTGGTGAACAAACTTATTCACGTGATTCACGTAATGGAAACACTGCAGTAGCAAAATTGTATTTTTTTTTTTACATTAGCAGAATATTGACAAAGTTTTGCTCACATTTGAGAGGAAAGCTCAGCTACTCATTCTAACATATTTCTAACCCTTGAATCTCAATACTTTCTGCATTTCTCTAACATTTTGCACATTTTAGTCCAACACATTTTAATGATTTTTAGAAATTATTAAGAATTTCAAAAAAAAATTTAGAAATTTTTTTGAAATACTGAAGTTGGCTTCTCATTCACACTGTGGTAAAGGGCTATTTCACAGCTTTTATTGGCAACTTAGATCAGCCATTTTTTAACACCTCTCAGACTTGTGAAATCCTACATTATCCTACATTAAACACAGATCCTTTAATTTACATTTATTTTATTTGTAAAACAGAACAGTTTTCAAATTTGTATCCTTCAAATCACTAACGACAAACTTTAACCAAATCAGACTTCTTCAGCCTAAAACAACAAAAATCTAAAAAAAAAAAAAAAGATTGTATTTATTTATGTAAACTCTACGCACAAGCTTTTAAAACATTGTTTGAATTTGCATTGGTCGTTATTACAAAGACAATGGTTATTTCCATGAGAAACATTGGTTGGAGGTGGTGCAACAGCAATGATCTTCCTGTATGAAACATTTATTGAGAATGGAATATGTAAATGTAGAATATATAAGTTATAATTATGCTAAGATCATGATTTGAGATTAACTATGAAATATTTTAGTCTTCATCAAAGGATTCTACTGTACACAAAGAAGTAAAAGAATATGATCAAAACAGAAAATAGTATAAGTTTTTTGCATGTTCATGAAAGGAATCACTTAATCACATTTTTGTAGTTCTATTTCTATTTGTAGTCTAATTATTTTGTATTACCTATCCTATCGGTGTCAAATATGTTCAACAATGTACAGACCAATTCAATAAATTAGAATATTACTGAACAGCCCTTTTTTTTAGGAACTTTATCGCTAAGTGAAATATTATAGATTAATTACACACAGATGGGTATTTGAAAGCCTTTATTTATGTTAATTATGATCATTTTCAGATTACTGTTAATAAAATCATGACATTTAAGAGTAAAATACTACATCAAACCGATTAAAATTATTTTTAATAGCAGAAATGTGGGTTTTGTGAAAACTAGGTACTTGAAAACTGAATACTTGCTTGGAGGATATTTTCAAAAGGTGCTTTTGATCTGAAAATGAGACTCATATATCAAAATGTATTTAATATGACTGTGGTGTGCAACTCTAATATTTAAATTCAAATTCAAAAACACTTTATTGATCCCAAAGGAAAATTAAATGTTGCTGTAACAATTTATAGCACTTTCACTTTATCTGGTTAGAGCTAGAAAAGCATTTTATTTTAGCTATCAAAGTACAAAAAAGTACATTAAGATACTATTAGATTGATTAAAGAAAGTTTTTATCTTGAGATGGATAAAACAAGGTTAGCATCTGTTGCTAATCTAATCCTAGCATCGAGATCAAAACTCTTATTCGGAGGCTCAATGATAGTAACACAGTTAGTGTAAAATATGTCAAATCAGAATAACGATCTGTTTTTAAAAGGTAAAAGTATATAACCAATTAAGTGAGAACTTTTTTCTTGTTTTTCACTCTTAGTTTTTCTAATTGAGAATACTTCAGGTTATTTCCTTAGAACAAGAAGGTCTGCCATGATAACAAAATTTTCAGTAATTATTGGGATAAACAATAAAATTGTTATTTTGAGACCATTTCCAAGTAATAAATTGAGTATATAATGCATGTAAATTTTGTAAAGTGCACTTCACATTAGAACTGGAAGAGATTTTAAATATTCGACAATCAATACAACAATAAAAAAAACCAAAAACCCACACAAAACCATAAATAAAATGGACTATGATGTCTCTGCAAACCAAACTTTAATCATCAAAATTACCCATTTTAATTCATCATCTGATAAATTGTTGTTGCATCAGGGGTAGAGGCAGGAAGATATTTGGTGACGCACCGACTCCAGCCTTCATCTGGTTGGTAAATAATCCTTGGATTCTAAATAAAAATGATGTTATAAAGGTTTGTAAGTAGCGTTGTATAAACTGCTGTGACATTTTACATAAACTGGCGTTGTTGGTAGAAGTCCAGTTTGGTTTATTTATTACAGACAAGACATTAAATGTTTATAACCTTTTAACTGAACTTTAAAAATCCTGACGTTTCCCTTTAAGGCGCTCTGAATGCTGCAACGTTTCTGTGCCACAATAGGATTTGAGAAACTTTTATCACCTGACCAATTTCAGGACCTGATGACAAAGTATCTAAGTTTTACAGTGTTTTTTCTATTGAATCTTCTGAGATTTCTCCTTTTTCAGTGATCTGTTGAAAAAAAAAATGGGACCAATAACTGGGTCACAAATATAAATTTATCTCATGCACTGGACTAGCCTACACTGGTAGAAGCCTTCTTTTCTAATGCACTGGAGAGCCTCATCTTAGATCATTAAATCACAGATCTAATGATAGATTTTAATCCAGTTTTGAGCCATATTTAGTCCACTGGTGATTTGATATCAGCCTTTGCTACATAGATGCCCAGTTGTGTAATATTTTATGCACTCTGTTCCTCAGGGCAGGATTGGAGTGCCATATGTGCATGATGGTTGTTACCGTTTTTACTCCAGGTTGTAGTGCAGTCGGAAAAATTTGCCAATTTCTGGCATAGTTTAAGTTTTGGTTCATGGTAGAGATTAAGGTAAAGTTCAGTCAGAGCAGAAATAATAGTTACTTTATCCTGTTTTAAAAACCCAGCTGGAATCTCTTTGTATCAAACTGGAAGGTCTACAAACTTTAATGATTTTTATTCCAATTTTTCTTTTCTTTCTTTGCATTTAACCTTCACCCTTTGGGGTGACTAACTTTGGCTCTTCTTTATCTCGGTTTATCTGTGTTAATGATAGAATTACTAACTGTTTTTGGGTTTAAACCGTAGATAGATGCACATGGATTAGAGAAGATTTATTTTGTCGTCAGTTGTTTATTGGTGGGCTATGCTTGTTTCACTGAAGAGCTTTAAATACAGTCGATATTGACTCCCTCTGCTGTTCTGACCTTTTTTTCTAAGTTTGAACTAGTATTTACATGTTCATGACACAGAATAGGTGATTGATTTCTGCTCCTCACTTGATTGATGTGCCCTGTTTGTCATGCAGGAACAGTTCATGAATGTTCATCGGTCTTATTTTTGGATCTCGGTTTGGCTCAAGAGGGCCGTTAATGCTTGTGCCCTCTTAGTGATCCACACGCGTCATTCTGCAGTGGCACAAACACTAATTTTTATATTTATTTTCTCCTTCCACTCTGGAGCTTTCAGTCGGACTCTGCCTCCCTAATCTCATTTTGCAGCTCTAATCAGAGATGTTGATGAATTAGCAAGACTCTGGCTTCAGTTTTTGATAAATGAGAGTTAGGGGTCAGGAAGCGGCCATCAGCAAAAGTCTAAATGCATTTACCTAATCAGTGCCAGAATTGGTCATTCTCATGAGCTAAATTGTCTGCCACTATTCTGGAAAGTATTTCCACTATCAGTGCATTTTGTCTTCTTAAGATAATTAATATAATTCCACATTTTGAAAATAAATTCACTTAAGATTTGGACAAAATTAATTTTTTATAAAAAAAAAAATTGGCTCTCGAATGATGTGTTTTTTTAGCTGTATAGAAATCGCTTTATTTTGCAAAACTGCAACGGAAACACTTTTTCACATCATTGCAAGTGGAAGTTAAATGTTGTAACACATCGTATCTTTAAAGAGTCGTTTGTAGATGGTGATGCTCAGGGTTGGAAGGATCTCCTATAGCACTTAGTACTGCAACTAATCTGATGAGGCCTCTGACTGAAGAATGTAGCTGTGTTGAATTTTCATAATTAAAAAAAGATCATAGTAAATATCACAAACAATTTTGATGAAACTTTGCATCCATATCACTCTATAAGTCATTAATATCTACATTACAATCAAGCTAAACAAATTAACACAATTTTTCATGCAGACTTTTCTTTTTTATTCTCTGTGACTTCGTACAAATCTGAAAATAAAAATAACAATAAGGCACTGCCCACCAAAACAGAAAATCTAAACATTACCAAAAATATATTACACTCTAAGAACTCTAATAAATAGATGATTATATAATCTATATCAACTCCTACGGTCCAGCCTTAGTTGTTAATAAACTATAAATATTTGTAGTCTAAAAGGATCCACACACACAGTAACGCTGGTAGTTCTGACCACACCATCGGCCGTTAACGACTTCCACAAAATAAAAAAACATAAAAATATAGTTATTATTCTTGCATTAACTCAGTTCTCATGTTATACTTTTAGAGAGCCTGAGTTTTTCTGTTAGAGTATATATTTATATATATATATATATATATATATATATATATAATATATATATATATATATATATATATATATATATATATATATATATATATACATCGTGCATGCAATTTTTCCCCGATAAAAAAACATTCATTTCATCTCATAGCTTAAAAAAGTACAAAATTTGTATCAACTTTATGTTAAAAAAACAAAATAAAGAGTGTAACATTCAAATTCTGATAATGCCACAGATTTTCATGCCATCCAAGGTCCACTACACATGTAGCCAGATATCTGGGAAAACCAAAACATTTTTAGACATTTTGGCTGTTCATCCAACCAGAGTGGAGATTTGAGGAAATAATGCAGCAATAAATCCACAAACCTGCTTTGACATGATTCCTAATCAAAATTGGCCTGTATTGTATTATTTATATTTATATAAAATAAACATTTCAAAGTAGTTAAACTTATATCCACATAAAGGAACCTCTTGGCGCCCCTGTTAGGTTTAAATCCTAACTGGAAGTCGTGGTTGTTTTGAAACAACCTGATTAGCTGACATGGACTTTAGCTTTGCGCCACACTGCCCCCTGTGGGTTTGGCATGTTTAAAACAAGTTGAAGAGTGTATTTGTACGACGGAGTAGTAGAACCAGGCTAAGAAACAAGCCTGGTTACGAGAATAAAGTCATACAATTACAAGAATAGAATCTTATTACAGAGAGTAAAATTGGAGTAACAAACTTAGCCACTTGCACAATCGTTTCAGAGTCCTGCTATTGATGCTGGTGAGTTAATAACTTAAGCATTTCCTCATCTGTGAAACAAATTGCAAAGTATAACTTTACAAGATGCCCAACTCTTCATTTTACCTTATTTTTATATTTTTGTAACACTACTTTATTCTTGTATGACTTTGTTCTTGTAATATTCTGACCTTATTTTCATAATTTTATATCTTTCATGAAATTTTACTACATTTTTCTTAGCCTTGCTCTAATATTCTGTCGTACAATGGAGTATGTGGCCATACTAAGAAAAAATAAATAAAATTACAAAAATAAAATCATAATATTATGACTTTATTCTCATAATATGTGATTATTCTCATGATTTTATTATTTTTATTTATCATTGCTATTATTATTTTCTCTGTTATATAGTTGAGTTTTAGGGGCATATTTAAAAAAGTAAAAAAAACTAAGAGAATAAGGTCGTAATATTCTGACTTCATTCTTGTGTTTTTTGGTTTTCTTGGCGTGGCCCTGATACTCCGTCGTACCGTTGTATGTTTGCTTGGGTTCATCTGATTGAAGTTTTTCTGAAACTGATTTCTCGTGTGCGATATTTGTGTTTTAGAATCGATGCAGGGGAGATATTAGTTTTTATAAAAACCCGGCTACATGTGCACAAGGCCTTGAGAGTCAGCTGAGATCAGAGATTAAGTAACGAAGCAGCTGATCGTCTTGAAATGCCTAAAACAGTCATCGTCCTCGTTTCCGTCAGCGTTTTGCAGAGATCCTGCGTTTGGGCTGGAACCGGAACCAGCTGTAGTGTTTCGCTGGGCGATCACAGGGTGAGAATGGTCGGCGAGTGCAGGGAGTGATCCGACTGGTCGCCACTGCTGCTGCTGCGCCGATGGGCGACTCCGCAGGGCTGCTGGGCCTGAGGGTGCAAGGCCTGATGGGACGCGGCAGGCGCTGCTGCTTCCGACGTGGAGGACGGATACGTGAAAACCATGCCAGCAGAGAAGGACAGGAGTGACGGCGTCGATATGAGAACCGGCGTGTGGAGCGACTCGGACTCAGAGGCGACGACCGAGGCGGTGGACGCCACCGGTTTGGCTGGGATCATTATCTTCGGTTTGGGCTTCTCTGGCTTTTTTGTGGAGGGTCCCGGAATGATGGATTCCTCTGGTTCCAGTTTGATGCCTCCCAAAGAAGAAAGCGAAGGCGTGGCATCAGAATCGGAATCAGAGTCGTCTATCTTGCAGATGGGACGGTGGGCTTCCAGGACCAACTCCAGCTTCTCCTTCTCCTTCTGCAGTAGTGCTATTTCTTTCTGCAGACGCGACTTCTCATCCTCCAGCTGATCGGTTTCCTGCTCCGGAAGGGAGGACAATCAAGTTCATTCATGCCTGACTCAGGTATTTGCACTTTTTAGGAATTAAGTGTTATGACGCGTGTAAAATCTTTACTCACATTTTGTAATGAGTCAGTCAGCTCACGGCGGCGATTGCGACATTTTGCTGCTGCCATTTTATTCCTTTCCCTTCTGATCCTGCGTCTTTCCAGTTCTTCAAGTGACAACTATGATTAAAAAGAGAAGTACAAACTATTACATATCAGAAAATAGGTTACAGAGCTGTTAAAAAGTATTTACGCCCTTTCAGGTTTCTTCAGTGTTTGCTTTTTTGTGTCACCTAAATGTTTCAGACCTAAACCTGGTTGACATTTTTAAACTTTTAAAAAATGCCAACCTGGTTTTAGGGGTAAATTATTTACCCTAAAAGTGTTTTTTAATAGGGTTAAAACTGGACAATAACATATCACAATATAAGAGTTTCAAGTTGATATTAATATTTATTGATTAGTTAGTATTTGAGATATTTCAAACAAAAACAACCATTTCTTGTTTTGTACATAAATTACTCTAAAGTTGTTGAACATATTTTCTATTTTCACTCTGCTCTGATAGCTGCTGAAAGTTACACAGCAAGTTGTTGCTCGGTAAGCAATGAGTGAGTGAGTTGGTTGATTCCACCAGCCTTCCTTGGCCATTCAGAAGCAGATTTGTTACGTTTAAAATCCCAAACTGATTTCCCTACAACTCAAGATGAGAAGAGCTTTGTCTTTTTGCTGTGGAACTTTACTAAATTGCCTTTTTTGACTTTTGCTTTTTCATCTCGTCGCAATTTGGTTTTTCTAGATTTTTTGTCCTACCATCTGTTTTCTTATAGGTTCCATTTAGGTGATGATACTTTTGATCACAAAGTAATCAGGTGTGAGTTGGTAAAGAGAAATTAAACTCGGTTTTGTGAAAGTGTGGCAAAAAAGCAAGAGGAGCAATTGCTTTCTGTGTCAAAATCGTCTAGTCAAAAAATTATTTTACCTACTCAACAATAAAGTCATAAGACTTGTTCTAAATTATTCTAAATCCAAAATTTAAAATGGGCTTTGCAGGTTTGCCTTGTTCAAATAAAATTTGCAAAGTGTCAATTGGAACAAAAATTGGCTCAATCCAGTCAATTCCAATCAATAGAATCTGGATTTTTCTGTGAGAAATGTTTGCTGTATTTAGCCAAATTTTTCAAATGAATCAAAATCAGATTTGGGTTCAGTAAAGTTGCTGGATAGACATGGAGAAGGCAAAAAGCCTGCTTATTTAAAGACAAATAATTATTGTTGTTTCCAACATTTTAATCTGAAACATTAAAATGTGACAAAGAGCAAAAACATAAGACCTAAAAGATGAGTTGCATTTTCTTGCTTCTGTATCATATAACTGGAGAATTACCACCACCATGTGTGGACTCTGAGTCATAACAATCATGGCGGCTGAATAACTCAGTATCGTCTTCTTCTTTTTGTGCTTGTAACATGACAAGTCTGGCTTTATCCGACACCCTAATGAATAATTACAGTTGCGCCCTATATTTCCTGCCCTTTTGGGTCCATGACTCACGCTCAGACCCCTGGGGTGAGTCAAGTGATGAGTCACAGAAAATGACTTGCCCATGTGAGTCACATGACTGTGTACTTCCTGTACCATAAAATCGCAGCTCTGTGTCGTGGATGTGTGCCAATCAGCAAGTGCCCGCTGAAAATGAGAAGTTGCTATATGAATGAAGTTACAACGGTTAAAAGTTGCAACAAGAGGGATCCACATCTGAGATTTCCTCTGACATCTGGAAGCTTTTTGTTTCACGTGTAAACAATAACCATAAAGTAAACAGAGGATGTTTACATCAGGGAATAAAAACTATTCAAGAGCTCAGTTTCTCAGGAAAACCTATTTCTAAATGACTGAAATTCAGAAAACAGTAACTGTGTGACACAATGCTACGGGATGTTACAGAAATGACTGAGTCACTGCTCACACCTCTGACCTCCTTAACTCCCAGATATCTTATTTTTATTCTAATTATATAGCTGCTTTTCCATTACAAATATGCACAAAACTTTGTCGAAAAACACAATTTCGCAATTGCAGTGTTTCCACTAAGAAACACCATTAAAAATGAATAAGTAAAGTCTTTAAAAACATTACGAGCTATAATCCTCCTACCACTTCCTGTTTTCTTCTTCTTCGTGGTTTGTGCCAGTAGCATCAGCCAGTTGATCGTGTGATGCGAAAAAAGTGTTTTCATTGCAGTTTTATATAATAAATCAATTTTGACACCTTTTTCAAAAAAAAAAAAAAAGGTGTGTGGAAAGCTAATTTATTGTCAGATGTTAGTTTTTGACCATCTCAAACCTACCTGCTCATCATTCCTGCGCCTTGTGGGCGGTGGGGTATTAGCAGCTGCCCTTATGACCCCGGGTCTGATGAAATGGGACTGGGAAGGCGGCGGACCCATCGGCCGGGCCCCCACGATGGATGGGTAAGGCGGTACCGGTGAGTGTGAAGGTCCTGGAGGATGCATGAGTGAGGGCTGGAGCAGCCACTGGAGGTCCTGGTTTGTTGTGATGGCATTCAGACTTGGGACAAAGGGGTTGCTGCCTGCCATTGTGAATTTCTGGAATGATGATAATAATAATGATGAATAAACATTGTTATGTAGCAGAAAACTAAAGACAAAGTGACGAAACAAACTTTGTCACTTTGTCATTAAACATAAAAATTGATATAGTCATCAGAGATGGGAAGAATAACTACTTCAGCATATTTTTACATAAGTGAAGTTAAAAGGAGCCGTCCAAGAAATTGCTAAAGTAAAAAAGTATTTGGTAAAAAGTTTACAGACGTATTAATAAACTAATCAAGTTATTAATAATTTAATATTTAAAAATGACAATCAGATGGACAAAAATGAAATCTAAGAGGAAATTTTGGTATCGTAAGAATGAAAATGTCAACAATTCATAGAAGTAACAAAAAATAAAATCAGGTGAAAAAACATTTTTCCAAATCAGTTTCTTTCAATAGGAAACTTATGAAACTTTAATAAAAACTGCAAATGTCAGAGAGTCTAGACATTTTACTCAAGTAAATGTAATTGAGTAACTATAACTAGTTACTACCCAGGTCTGGCAGACACTACAATTACAAAATATCTGATATATTATTTTTATGTAACACATTAAATAAATTTTACATTAAAAGTACTTAAACCCCTGAGTGTAATTCTGTTCAACCTCTGACCTTGTAGCCTAGTTGGGTGCGCGCACACCTACCTGCTCCTGCTGGGTGCTGGAGGTGCTGCTGCTGCTGCTGCCGCCCAGTGATGCGGAGCTGGACCCGGACAGGTTGCCTCCGTACGCCGGGTTGCCTCTCCCTTGACTCCCGAAGTTTCGATACATCCTCTCCGGCTTTCTGAGAAACGCAACCGAACCCAGCCTCCGCTGTGTGTGTCTATAGAGCCTTTAGATCGTAGCTTTCGGGATGAGTCTTGTGGGTTAATTCAAACTCTGGGGGCAAGCCCACTGTATTGCCGTAAATCGGTAGAGTCCAAACGAGTTCGTTCCGAAGGGGAGCAAAGAGGGGGAAAAGAGTTTGACTATTGTTTAAATCGAGCTAAAACGTCCGAAAGTTGTCCAAGCCGCACCTCCGGCTTTCTAGTCATCCATTTAGAATCGGAAGTCTGGGAGTAATTGTCAGGTTGTAAACCCTTAAAGCCGGAGAATTGGTTTGCCACGCCCCGTAACTTTACGGGAAATAGTGTTGTCTGGAATCTCTCACGAACTCAAACCACGTGGGGCTGACGTCACTGCCCATATATGGTGAGTTTCCTCCCCGCCACTACAAACAGGGATTCCTCAGGCGGCGTCACCTCATGGTCAAAACTAGCTGTTTTGTTTCGTGTGTTATCAAACGTACAAGTGGAAATGTTATGATATTTTCCAGTTTCAGACAAGAGGCCGCCTCCTGCTGTAACCGGCACACACAGGAAACAGCCAGTTTCCAAAGGCGAAACCAACTGTTAGCGAGTGAAAGTGAGGCGATATGTTAATTTGATTACTTTATAAGTAGCCAGAATGCTGTAATTTAAAATACATTTGTAAATAAAATGATGGCTTTGAGTATTTCTTGAGGTTGTTACTTGTAAATGGGTTTGTAAAGTGGTTATTGTGCTGACAATTATAGAACATTAAGGTAATGATAATGTTTAGACACAAGTGTAAACTTGTAAATGTAATGTATTAGTATAAATATAGCCTACTAATACAGGTAAATAAAAACAGGTAAGCTCAGAAATTATTCTTATTTGTTAGTTTTGTGTGGGAGATTACACAAGTATAATCCAAATTTTAATACAGTGTATAAGTTAGCAACAAGAGTAACATAATAACAATAACAAATATTAGAATTAGTGTTATTATTGTGATTGGACAGACAGACAGATATTTTTGTTTTTTAATTGTTATTAAATTGATTTTACTATTTTATTGCAAATGCATATTTTATTTAATTTTAATGGCTATCTTGATTTTCTTGGTTTTTATTTGTAATCTATATTCTTTTAATATAATTTTTTATATTTGTTTATTTAAATGGATAAATATTAAGTTTATTAATCTTTGTCTTTAATAAATTAACAAAAATTCTTGGTCCACAATAGAGGTAAAAAATTAGGAATAAAAGAGGTTAAATCTATTATTATTAAATATTAACTTTTAAATTGTTATAAAGCATTTAAAGTTAGTATGAATTTCTATGGATTCATGTGAGGTACAGTGCAATTTTAAACATGTAAATAATCATCATATGAACAACTTATATATGTGATAAAAGATTCCCATAATGTCATAAATAATCCTGTATGTGTATTTTGATGAATCCACGTTAATTTGTGACTGAGACTGAACAGTCAGGCAGAGAGCTGAGCACGTGCCTGTAAAACCTGAGTTTTTTGGCCACCACTTTCACTGTAAACCACATCAATAAGCACACATTCTTGTGGAAATGAGTCACCTAAATGGCGCAAAGCAGCTCTGTTACTTCACCACTGGTTTTACCACATTTCCCTTTTTTTAATACATGCAAGCATGTTATAGTACCTAGTAAAGATTAAAATTTTGCAAACTGCATTTTTGGTAAGCTTAGTCTGTCACAACAGCTGCTGACCTTGCAGTCCCTCTGGGACAGAGTTCCCGGCATCGGTTGATCTGACCCGTGGCTGACTGCTGCTCTCATGTCTCGTGTTACTATTAACTCCGGTCCTGCAACGTTTGAACAGCAGTTGTTAATATTTAATGCTGGAGTCACAATTTTTTTATGCTTTACATGGGAAACAACAAGTGAGACCTGTAGCTTTTTGTCTCTGGGTTAAAAGTTTCAGGTTTAAACATTGTTAAACCAGAACATACAGGGTGATTTGTTTGTAATATGCTGAAAGGTGTCATAAAAAATAAAATAGGGTAAAGGTGAGTGTAAGGTGAGTCAGCTGTGAGAAATTCACTGATGAGACATGTGAAGTGGTGACATGCCACAACATGTCTTCTTCCTATTACACCTTCAGTTTCCCTCTGGTTTTATCCTCTACCCTTACTTTTACAAGTAAACCCAACTCTAACTTCCTTAATTAAATGTTTAGGTTTTTTAAGTGGTGAAACTCTGACTAACTTCCTCATTCTTTGTTTCTGTTTTGAGTTTCCTCCAAAAATTTAACATGATCCAAGGCGGAATAAAGGAAGCTTGAATTCCTTTGCAGTTTACTCATCTAGAAATCTCTGCATGTTGTCACATAACTCATCCCACACCCACCCACGCCTTCTACCCACTCACACAACGATGCTGCCATGCCACAGATTAATTTATTAAGCAGGATAGGTGTCTAGAGTCACGCCATGCCACCTTTATGCTTACACATTACAAAGAAATAAAGATTATCTGTAATCATAAGGTGAAGTCCGAACATGAATATACTGACTGTGCCTTAAATCTACATTATTCACAATGTCATGTTACACTATCTAAAATATGACACACTTTTAGTTTATGGAAATATTTATGCCAATGACAGGAATAAATTGAATAAAATTTACAATCAACTGCCCCAAGTAGCAAATTAAGACTTCCGAGAAGCTGTAAGTTGAAACCTCAATCTAAAGTAGCAAAAATTAAACTATCTTACTCTTTAGAGAAAACCTCTGCATCTTTCCAGAATTTGCCGCTGCGCCAAAGTTGAAGCTTGACAAAAATTTCCAGCTGCCTGGATGGACAAGAGGAGAAACATCTGGATAAGAGATTTATTTGAGATGATATAAAGATTGAGCAATTTGACCACAACTACTAGAAGTCCTGCATCTTTCCAGATGCAGGAGTTTAAAGTTGAAGCAAAGTGATGGCAGTGTCATGCTGTGGTGATGTGTTACCAACATGGCTGCTGGTGCAAAGAAGAAAGTGGACCAAATAAAGAAAACGATTCATTTGAACTTTTTCAACTTCACCTCAAGTATTCACTACAAATATTACCAAGTATCTTGGTACAGTTTAAATAACAATAATAGTAATTTATTTAAAGTTAGCTTACAAGCAACTTTTCAGTAAGAAAGAGGAGCTTGTTTTAAGTCAATAACTCTCTTAATTTTGGTGAAAAAGTTGCAGTTTCATTAGCAGATTTTTTCACTTTTAACTGGGAAAATGTTTGATTATCAGTGACCTAATCTGCAATTCGAACTAACAGTTTTTTTATTTTTTATTGGCTTAAAACAAGCTGCTATATCATTCTGAAAAGTTACTTCTAAGTTAATTTTGTTATATTTCACTTGTGCTAATATATTTGCACTAGAAAATAGTCCAGAAATACTTGGTAAAATTTGATCTCTTTTGCTGTGTAGCTGAAATTTGGGTCCTGATGGGAGTAAAACTGGTTTTAAAGTGGAGAAAAAAGTATATCTTTGAGCTTTTTGAATGGCTGTGTAAAAACTTTTATTTGTCTTTAAAAACTTTGAACTGGAAGCAAAAAAAAAAAAGACCTAGAATATTAAAATTTTGCCAAGACTAAACTTCGAGTGAATTAATCCAGAACTTTGTTGAAAAACGTGCAAAGAAAGTTTTATGAACTATTTATCAGTATAAACAGTACCCTACTGTTTAGAAAATTAATAGAATATTTTCAATATTTGAATTTTATGATATTACAACCACAAACTTTAAGAAATTTAGCTTTAGTTTCTCATAATAGCTCAGTATAAAGAACTGTATAATAATATTTAAATGTTTTAATTACGTTCCAGTTTGATTCCAGTTATCAATTAATTTTATGATCCAAACTGATTAAAAGGTTTTCTATCAAATAAAACCCAGGCGATTGCAGCAAGTATGAGGTATCAAAAATTTTGTAAATTACAATTTGAGGCTGGATTTGTGGAAAAATTAAAAATATGGAAAAAACAACTTGTTCAAATAAATCACTTAAGTTTTTATTTGTCAGTGAAAGTGGGTGCAAATATTTACCTTTCTACCAATTAGTTTGATGGAAAAGTCCTGTCCTACATACTGGGAAGTGTTCTAATTACATCCAAGTGAAAAGTGGGTGATCCATTCTCAATTTCCCCATTTCATATTTGTTCCTCTCACTTTGAAGCTTCTCTATTAACCATTTATTGCATTGGTGTTAGTGAAATAGTCTGATTCTTTCTCCCAGTAGTTGTTTTCCTTCAGGCTTTAAAAGCTCCAGTTCTCAAACCGCTGCTGGAAGAGAACAGTCTGGGCAAGTCGCTATTGGAAAATTACCACTTTTTCCAAGTGATTGTTGGAAAAACAACCACGTTTTTCCAACGAAGTGATTGGAAAAACTCTGTTTAAACGTTTGAGTGCTGTCAATTAGTACATTAAATAGAAGAGGTTCAAGGATTAAATCTTGGGGTACTCCTGCCTGTTCTAATGAGTAGTTCTCTATTCACACAAAGGGAATAAGCACAAGTCACATATGGAGTACCCCAAGGTTCAAACATGGGACCCTTTCTATTCAATATCTACATACTCCCACTAGTTCAGGTTCTAAAAAAATAATAAGATTAGTTAATATAACTATGAAGATGACACACGGTTCCACATTACAATGTCACCAGGAGACTATGAACCCATTCATGCTTTGAGATACGCAGAACAAATCAATACATGGACATGCCACAACTTGTTCCAGCTGAACGGAAACCAAACTGAAGTCATTATTTTTGGACGTAAAGAGGAACAACCAAGAGTCAGGACACAGCTTCAATTATTACAGTCAGAAACTACAAACAGGAATGACTTCTGGGTGTAGTGATGGACTCAGACCTGAACCTTCAGCATCACATAAAGATTGTTACAAAATCAGCTTTCCATCACCTGAAGAACTTTTCTAAACTTTCATAAACTCATGCATGTGTTTATCTATAGTCACATTGATTACTCCCAACAGTGTCATGGAGAAGCAACACTCAGTTTTCATGCTTCTTTTATGTGGAACAAACGTCCATAAAACAACAAAACAGCTGGAACACAAAGCTAAAAATCTATTTTTAAGAGTTTCCTTTTGAAGAGGGTAACACTGATTACATATTTAATGTATATTCATTTGATTATTTTTAATGACGGCATTTGACAAAATGTAATATTTATCACTTGTTTTATAATCGGTGACGATTATGTTTTCATGAACTACCTTTATGCTGAACTACAAATAAATTTGATTTCCATAAAACTGGAAAACTGCTGGAACACTGAGTCCCTTTTAATCAAGACTGAAGTCCTATTTGATTAATAACAACTGGAATATTGAATAATTTAAGTCTGGACTAGCACATTTAAGTATTTATCTCTATTTTGGCACTGTAATATCATGTTCTTTAAAC